CATCTGCGTTTTAATGTGAAAGAATAATGATTAATATTCTTACTTATATTATCTTTTTTAACTTTTTCCTTCCCTCTGATATGCCAATTTTATGATTTCTCGATCTTTCAAGGCATTCGGAATCATCGATACCAAAATTAGAAAAAGTATAAGTGTATATGTTTTATTATTTTTTACTATAGCGAAGGAAATGCCTTTATGCATCCCAGACTGGTCTTTTGTCTGGGTATGTCGGACACAATACCGCCCTGGTATAATACCGACTAAAATCTCCACTTTGCCCTTGTCTCTGGTCCTCACGGAAACCGCCGTTAGGCATTACTTCGTGGGGGGAGGATCTAGAATGTTATTATTCTTAACTTGATTTTATACTCATCTTTTAAAGTAATATGTGACATTTTATCGAGGTTCTCTAAGAAATGGCTGCACTGATTTCAACAATTTAAAAGCCATTCCATGAAACTCAATAAAGATTCGCGTCCATTAATTTTGTGTGACAATCGGCCCAACCGCAATTTTTTGTAATTAGCAGATAAGTGCAAAATTGTTCGTTCACGTTTTCGCCATAAATTCTGATTTTTTGAAAGATATCAGTTGGAACTCGTGCTGATTAGTTTTTGGTAGAGATCGGCCGAGCTGTAGTAATGTTTGAACTACTTAAAATATATAGGCCTACGAAATTGTAAAAATAAATGAATGTTTGGAATATTGGCGGTAAATTTTCAAAATTTTATCATCACAATTATAAGAGTTGCTAAATTTTACTTCATATCGATTGAGTCAATTATTTACAAATCGGGAATTTAGTTCGAACCTCTGCACAACCTGACATCGTGCGGCAGCGATGTCCATTTTCACTTGAAAATAAAGATCAAAAATATGTTTCCAATTGGAATTAGCCCATAGTGAAATGACAATGGGAAATCTCCACACTATTCTCCTGAATCGAGTTGGAATTTAACTCAGCTCACGAACCTAAGCCTACTACCCATTATATATATATAATATAATAGATATATATAAATTGTTTAATATATGAAATTATAAAATATATAAAAAAATGTAAAAATATAAATATATAAAAAAATGTAAAATAGAGTAGGCTAACCATTGGGTTGCCTTCTGAAAAGCCAGGTGATTAAAAAAATCATCACAACATCTTATGGAATTCTAAATCAGATTTTAGAGTTCTATAGATGCTGTGATGATTTTTTTGAATCACCTGGCTTTTCAGAAAGCAACCCAATGGTTAGCCTATCTCTATTTTACTTTTTTTTTACAAGCGTTTCTCTAATATCTAAAATTTTTAATTTAATAAGGCAATGTCGACGAATAGCTATTTTCACTTGGAACAAACTATATATTTTATATTACTTCTCATTGCAATATTTTTTTTTGGCAAAGAGATAGTCCTATCAAGTTTATAAAATTTTCTTCATAGTTTCAATTTTGTATTTTGCAAGAATGATGTATCATGTGTAATCAGATATAGTTTTTGTTTATTTTAAGATTAAGCATTTATCTCTAATCGATCATCTTTATCACAGTTATCTTAATTTCAAATCAAAACAACCGAATATTCAACATTTATTTATATTTACTAAACGATACTATTTTTGATATGAATACTTTTTGCCATTTCAAACATTCTAAATACATTACATGTTTTATGTATTGTTTACATAAACGACTATTGTTTATATAAATTAATGAGCTGGGTTTAAAATTTGCAATGATAAGCAAAAATCATTCTATAAAGATATCACTGTTTTAGGAGAGATTTAATCAATGGTAATTGATATATATATATATATATATATATATATATATATATTTATATTTTTGAAGAAGAATCAATTGGTCAACGTATGACAATATTTGTGATGATATTAGGACAAAATCCAGCTGTAGCGAATTAAAACTAAATTTGAACTAATTTTTTGTGAATTTAACTAGAAAACAGAGTACTGTTTTTCAATGAGAATTAATTAATTATAATTATATTTTAAAAAATGATTTTTTATTCATAATATTTTTTCTTTGAAATATATTACAAGTTTGGGAACGATGTGGTATTGAAGTAAAAGTCAGAATGTTGAGTAATGAACCCAATGGCTTCATCAAGTAAAATAAACATAATATTATAGTGTTAATTATGCACTTCCTTGCACACATATTGTTCAACAATGCGAACTATTTTTGTGTGTATATATGACATTGATTTCTTTCAAATACTTTTCCATTAATGACCTTAATTGACAAATTTGGGTCAGGTGTTTTGCTAGATTTGGATCGCATTAAGAATAATTTTTAATTTGGTAATCATCACTTATTTAACATTGCAATTAGTTGTATTTGATAGAATACAATTTTTTTTAAATGTGCTGAAAAATTGTTTGTAGAGTAGAATTAAATTCAATTTTTTTAAATAATGATAAACATTCTAAAATAGTTTCAAATACATAATATTTTACAGTACGATTGCTTTGAAAAAAATTCAGAATTTCCAAAATATTTCAAAATAAATTTTTCTTCAAAAAGTCTTTTTTTTTTTCAAAAAAAAAGTAAGTTTTTGTCAAAAATTTCTAGTTCCTCAAAAATCTAATTTTTTCAGGAATCAATCATTTTCAATCTTTTTAAAAATAATAATTTTTGGTACGGGAAGTTCCAGCAATTTGCCTTAAGGCACGATGTCATGCGACCCACTAGTTTTACATTAATTTAATTAGTATCCACTTTTCATTATATGCGTTTTTTGCCCAGAAGATCTATATTGCCATACTATGATATTACTATTTTTTTATTCAAACTAATTACAAATAATATTTAATTTATTCTTTGCTATTAGGCAAATATTTTAAACATATTCCAAATTTTATTTTCAATACCTAATGACTAATAGTACACTAATTAAAATATTTACATATTTTATGTACTACCTACAATAAATTATTATTGTTATTAAAGAAAAGAAATTTTAAGAAATGTTTTTGTAAATTCTTGACATTGGTGAGATGATGGTTGATTTAATTTTTTTTTGCAAAATTTGCAAGGTATTCCAAGTGGAAATATGAAGTTAATCATTTTTTATTGGTAACCCATGAAAATTTTAAGTAAGTTGTAGGTAATATTTTACATTTTCAGTATTTTTATGGCAAAATGCAGCTGCTAGCTCGGATGACACTTTTGTATTATCAACACATGATATTACAATTCTGGTGGGTGATGTCGGTGCATTTAACTTAGAAGTCAGGTAAATCATTTAATTTAATTGAAATAATTTATTTTAATTTTTCAGTTTTTTATTATAATTTATTTATTTGATAATTATTTTATTATAATTATTTTATAACATAGCTCACCGATTAGCATGAGAAGGTATTAACCCTTTCCACTCGGATACCGAGGGTTAAAAATACTATTATAATAAGATTTAACTGTTAATACTAAATTATATCAAAACAAATTTAAACAAAAAACGTACAAGTTAAAATAGAAAAAAAATTCTTGTACATATGGTAATTAGTTATTTCATTGAAATATGATTGAATTTTAATTGATTGAATTTAAGTTAGAAATTACTGCTATAAGCGAATTCAAAAGAGTATTAGACTAAGGAATAAATTACTTGAAAAATATTAGAGTTCGTGAAGAGAATCTAGGAAAGTTAAAGGATAGCTGGTTAAAAATTTTAAAACAATCTATAGCATTGTTACAAGGTTTATTTTAGAATAAAATATTTTCAGTAAAACGACATATGACGAGAGATGATATGCTAAATTTTCATTTAGCAGCAAATTGTGATCAAAACCACGTTCGGGTTAAGTTTTGTGTGTTTCCAAATATAGATATTTCAAAAAAAGTTTTCTTCAGGTTTTTCTATCGATTTGGAATTATTATACCCTTATTTGTCATACGATACAACTTTCAATTTTACATATGAAAATACAAACAAAATATTTCCTTTCTATATCAATTCTACTACGACTTTAATGTTTATTTTATTTGTTTCTATTACTAATCATCATTTTCTTTCGAATTTGATGATTATTTTCATAATTCAAAACCACTGGAAATTACAGACGACAGTTAGTTCAACCTGTACAGGTGAACTTCTACGCTGAACACAAGAGTCTTCTCAGAATCAAACCAGCCGAATTGGAAGTCAGTGATCCTGGTTCCTATAATATTAGTTTGAAAGGAATAAATCCAGGATTCACTGTTATAACTTATAATGTTAGCCAGAATAATGAGAGGTAATAATAAGTTAATATTGATTAGTTGTAAATTTGCTAATTTTTTTGTAATACTTTAAATAATCAATTGGATTTTACATGAGTTGCAGAAAATTATGGGAACAAAGAAGTGAAAATGCTTGTGCTGAATTTTGAACTTTTTTTGCAACGAACTATGAAATTTATATAGAAGAGTTTTAATGAATAATTAACAAAAGTATATCGCAGTCCACAAGAAAAGTGACACAAGTCAAAAAAGTTAAATTGTGTAGTAGAGTATAATTAAAGAACTTATAAATATTAGTTAAATGCAAATTGTAATGCAAAATAATTTTATATTAGATTGTCACTATTACATTGTTAATCAATTTTTATACTCGTAAAATCTTTATATACTTTCTATACTTATTGTTAGTTCAAATCGTTTATATTTTTAAAAGCTGTAGCTTTTCAAGGCCGCCGGCATGTTTGGACGTATTTTCGTTTTATTATATTGGCCATGAAGGCGACAATCTTCATGGCATTGAGCTTTTACACGGAATGGTTGCTACGCCTGGTAGCGGAGTGTTTTGATGGAAATAATTGTTCACTTCTAAAAGTAAAGTCCGCGAAACAACATGTTTATTCAATAAGAAATAATAAATTGCTTTTTCAGATCAACCCTAATTATTTCAAAATATGCGGTAGTGTTTTGTGTGTATCGTGTTTTGTATGTATCATAGCATCCAAATTCCCCAAATCTTGGCATTGTAATTTTTTCTGTAACTTTATTTGAGTTAATTTAATAATAAAAAATTGAAGTATCATTTTCAGAGTTAGAGATTAATCTAATTGGAATTTAGTAAGCACAAAAAGTGATTTTTATCATTTTTGAGTTGCATCACTTTTCTTGCGGAGGTGCCTGCATTTTTTGGTGGAGACTGTCCTCCTAAGGTCCACTCTTCTAAATTAATTCGCTTCTTTAGATTCCACCATTAATCTCATATATGTACTTTATTTCATATTTTTCAAATATGATAATATCATCAAATTTTTCATAAATTTTTATTCCAATAGAAGTTCGAGAGGAGAACAACCGGATGATTTTATCCGGGTGATTGTGCAGCACTCCACCTCTCTCGGTCTACTGTCCGTTGTGGTCGGATGGATATATTTTATTGCCTGGTCGGTTTCATTTTACCCACAAATTTACTCGAATTTTAGAAGAAAGAGTGTTGTTGGACTGAATTTTGATTTGTTGGTTTGAATCTTATTGGATTCTGCCTTTACACAGTATTCAATATCGGGCTTTACTTCGTACCCACGATTGAAGTAAGTCGCAGGGAAGTTGGATTATATTGTAATGTAAATTGTTTTAGTAAAAATTTAGTGGTATCTTCGATTTCTCCTTTGAAGCTCCAATGTAATAAGCAATTCTCAACTTTATGATAAGGTGAAATGGATGATGAAAGCACCATAAAAAATTGTATACCACATTTAGCGACCGATCCTGCCGCATAAGAGACAAATATTATGGCAAGGCCATATTACGCTTCAACTTCCATACATTATGCTACTGAATTATACTGAATACTGTCAAAATGTCATGAACCTTAGTCAGAAAGACCCCGTTATCTAACATCGTTTTTTTGACATTTGTGCGGTTTCTAGATTATGTTTTCTGTTTGACAACCTGAGAAAATCGCCTGACTGCACAGCAACCACATGGCTTTTGATAATATTTAGAACGAATTTGTATGAAAAGTTCTTCATAACATAGCCTTGCCATAACATTGGTCTGTTATTTGGCAGAATCGGTGCCTTAATCTTTGGTAACTCATATTTAACCTTCTATAGGCCTGCGTAACTTTCAGATCGCATTCCAAATTTTTGTAATTTTACCAAATAATTACGGCTTTTTTCTTGATATGACGCATAAATCTTAATTTTAAAACTTTGTAAAGACAACCAGTATCAATATTTATTATGTTCTTTCTTCCGAGGCTTTCTTTTTTTTCTTTTTTCAACCTGAAATAACAATTTCATGCAAGAAGTGCATAAAAACATTGGCCGGTGTAACGTGGAAGTCACATAATTCATTAATACCAAAAAAATGGTTCAGAACATTTTTTTGTTTTACATTTGCATATATAGGTATTTACTACTTTTGGTTCTATTTTCCAAAAATTCGGTCTATAGAGGGTTAATATTTTATAATCATTATATAATCCATGTATTGGGATTAAAAATAGTCAGCAGATTTCAGAAACATTCACTTTTTTGTTTGAAAATTAATGTTGCGAATTAAATCAATATAATCCAACTTTTATATTAATACATATTTTTTAATAACAAATTGATTTGTAATTATTATAATATTTCAGCAAGAGTATTTTGACAGGAATCCACGTGGTTTAAATCCTGTTCAAATAAATGATGTCGTATTTTCAGTACATGCTGCGCTTGCGACCTTTCTAACAATAATTCAATGTATTTTTTATGAGGTAATTTGGATATTTTATTTGAGTTTGTTGTTTTTACATAGGCAATTTTTGGAAATATAAGCACGGTTCATAAGTAAGTCCAATTTTGAGTTTAGATTTTTAGAAGATTAATCTTTCTCATGAAATCCTTCCTGGCTATGAAGACGCCATCAATTGTAGTTGGTGATATCAGTCAGTATCATGATTGTATTCATATTTAATTTTTTTACTATTTCATATACCGTGATTAGATTCCTAAAAAGGCTTATTGGCATTATTTGCCAATTGACCAATTTCTGTTAAACATGTAATACTTTTTTATCATTTTTTCAGAGAGGAAACCAAAGAGTATCAATAATAGGTTCTATTCTGATGGGAACATGTTTCATATTGGTGATAGTAAGCGGTTCTCTCGCCGCCAGTTATGTTATAGAGTGGCTAGACTTTTTATATTATTGTAGTTATATAAAATTAGGTATTACTTTAGTCAAATATATACCACAGGTAATTAATCTTTTTAGCAGAAATAATATATATAATAAATATAATTTATTTATATTTTTATATAAGGCATGATTATATTCAAAAACTTTGCAGGCATATATGAATTATAAAAGAAAGAGCACTGTTGGATGGAGTATAGGTAATATTTTCTTGGATTTTGCTGGTGGTTTGACTAGCATGTTGCAGATGATCATAAATGCCTACAATTATGGTAAATACTTGTATATATATATATATATATATATATACATATACATACATATACATATATATTAATATTTACATACTGTACTAAATATAACTCAATAATCACTTTCTAAATATTTGAACTTGTGAATAAATTTAGATTCTGATTAGATCTATTGTGTGTGAAGCCAATTATGCACTAATTTATAATTTTATTAAAAACTGGATTATTAAATAATAAATTCATTCATTCATATTTATTTTTTTACAGATGATTGGATTTCAATATTTGGTGATCCTACTAAATTTGGATTGGGGCTATTTTCCGTCATTTTCGACATATTTTTCATGATACAGCATTACGTCCTTTATAGGTAACTTATTTAGCAAATAATAAAATATATTTACTAATATCACGATTTGTTAAAATTTTGGAAGTTAAATGTTGTTGCTGAAACTATAGGAGACAAATTTTGCTCGCCCATTAGCATATATATATATTTACTGTAAAATATAGATTTTACGAGCTTTATAGCTGATTAAGAAATAGCATTTCGTATATCTTTGTGAAAATAATCCTTAAATACATAAATTTTCACATTTTATTTCATTCCAGTTCTACAGAGAAATCAAAGCCCGAGACAATCAACACCATCTGATATTGCACTATTATTTATTTCCATTTTTATACATTTTTTATGTAAAACTCAAATAAATCATTTCCAATTCATTTGCATTTCACGTAATTTTTTATCAAAATAAAATGTATTGGGATATTGACATTGTGCATTTTTATTAGTTATTAATTTATTTTTATTCCAGGAATCCTAATTTGTACGACACTTTTAATAACGAGATTAATAGTGCTGTTGAAGCTACACCGTCAATAGAAGGCGAATGTATTAATTAGTCGTATAAATAGCATAGTATTATAAATAGTATTTACTTTATTATACGTATTTGCATTAATTTTAAATGTAGGAACAGTATCCGTGAAATTTTCGCATAGTATCACTCGAAATAAAGCATACTTACATAGAAATAAAAGTTTAGAGCGTTAGGAATTTCTTAGCCATACATCTTTTTGATAAGACTTCCTTGAGTTCTACATCATTTAAAGTAAGATTTACACAAATTTATAAAAATACTAAAATTATTTCTGAAAATTTTATAAAAATTCTTTAATACTTTATCTAAGAAATATTTGATGATGTTCAGTTTAGAAGATATTTGTTGAAATTCTTATTAAATTTTACTTTGATCTACCTCAATATTGTTCGACTGAATCATATTTACATTTTATAACAAACCCTTTAAACGATTTAACCCTTTCGCTACGAGCGTCATCTATAGTCGACATCTGCTTGACAACCTGTGTGTACGAATGTCGCCTATAGTCGACATCTAACGTGTCGATTTGCGAGTTAAAGTATTGCAAATTCTAATTTATTATTGTAACTTTTAGTTATTAAGAAGTGCATTTTTAATTTTAAAATATAAAATACTTACGCAGCTTTCTGGCTCGTATACCAGAGTCACCAGAAAACAGCGACGTAGCGAAAAGGTTGAAGGGACAAAATATCACAAAATAATAATAATAAAATAAACTCATAACACCCTAGTATTCTTTTTTGACTATTAGTTATCCTAAAGACAATATGCCATCTTTTGATATCCTTTGTTAATTTATCTTCATTAATGCTCAAGGTTATATCTATATCTATATATATATATATATATATATATATATAGATATATATATATATATATATGGTATATATATGTATATATATATTAGGGTGGTCCTTAATATCTACATTTTCGAATTTTCTTGCTCCCAGGGGCTCAAATGCTTCCAAATTGATAAAAAAAATCCTCTATAAGTATTAGCTCGTAATATTGTCTTTTAGATAGTGCGCAATTTGATCAAAGTTTTGTTTGAGAGTAAGAGATTTTTTTTTCATCAATTTGAATGCATTCAAGCCCCTGGGAGCAAGGAAATTCGAAAATGCCCATATTAAGGACCACCCTAATGTATATACATACATACAAAAAATCTAAATCTTATAAATGTGTATATATATACGTACATACCACAAGAAACGAAACTATAATTTTGGAGATAACCGATTTTATTTTCACAATTTTATTGTTAATTATTGTATGATTCATTAATTACCAGAATAAAGTACTAATTTGAAAGAATACAGCGAAAATTTTGGCACTAGTTTCAATTTAGAAAAGACTAGATGGTATTGATTTAATAATTTAAGTTTTTGATGACTGTGAAGCAAATAAAGAACAATGCTAAAATATTATATTAATTATTATTATTACTATTATCACATGAAAAAATATTTTTATTAAATATCATATGCGTTTTATTTATTCACAATTGTTGTTTATTGTTAGTAGTAAAATAAAAAAACTATTGTGTATAATAGATATAAACTACATATGCAAATTATATGACCAACAGCTCGAATTGTTTTCTATTATTTTTACTACTACGCTTATCATGATAAAAGTGATAAAATATTAGTTTTACATTATGTCATGTTTTATTTTATTCTAATATATTTATAGTTATATTACTATTTTTATATTTTTATATATTTTATTTTATATAGACCATCAATGTTCGTCTAATGTACATGAAATTCATGTACCTGAGATAAAATTAATTTAGTTATTATATTATTAATTTTGTGAGTAAATCATGTTATATTATACAATATGTAATATATTTTAAAAGCATATCTAAATATACAATTTTATTATAATTTTGGTCGTATGATTTTATATTATCTAAAATAGTTAAAATAATTTTAAAATATTAATATATGTCTGCAGAATTACTATAAATATTTTTCAATTTCATAAGTGTAAAGAAAGATTTTACTTCACGTTATCTTATTCGTATTACTTTTATATAAATATTACTATCACTTGCTTATATGATAACAACAGGGGCGTAACTACAGTATCAATTATATTGGACCCCCGAGACACAAAGGCTTCCAACGTGCGTAAGCAAAAATTAATCAAAATTAAAACTCAAAAAAATTTCCATAGATACTAAATAATCATCATCAAGTATTAATGATATAATAAATTAGTTTCCCAAAAAATGCGTCGAGATTGTATATTTATTTTGAATTATTTGTGAAAAAATTGGAAAAAGTGACTGATAGATAATTATAACGAATATATTTTTTACTAATTTATGAGAAATCTGTACACTTTCTAAGGATTCCCAAACAAATTTTATACAAGGGCCCGCCAATGTACTCTGTCAATATCCTGATGTAAATATAAATTATTTAAATCAACACTGTAAATCTACTACAATAATTGTAAATCCGCATGTATGATTGTAAATTTACTACAATCGGTGTAGTAAATTTACTACCTTAAGCATAAATCTACTATTGAAAATAGTAAATCTACTACTGGTTTTCGAAATACAAAACTTTGATTGAATTGCGCTCTATCTAAAAGACAATATCAAGAGCTAAAACTTTCAGAGAATTGTTTTTTATCAATTTGGAACCATTTGAGCCTTTGGAAGCAAGGAAATTCGAAAATGTCCATATTAAGGACCACCCTAATATATATATATATATATATATATATATATATATACATGTATATAACCATGATATGACGGATAAAGCTATCAAAACAGTGCATAATTTTCCTTATCTCTTTGTAACTTGAAGAATTTGTAAAAATATTTACTGTAGTTTCTTACACCAGATAATTTGTTTTACGTATACAGTATTTAAAAGCACATATATAAATAAATAAAGTGTCATTTATAAATCAAATCAATATATAATGTCATCACTCGGTTCAATATTAATTTTATATTAACGAACGAGGTATTTAAGAATGGAAACATTACATATGTACAATGTGTGAAATACTGGATGGCGACAAGGTAGCAGTTGTTGTTTCCAAAAGTTTCCCCATTGCAATTTTGCAATGATTTCTTAATTCACAATTTTCACTTAGCAAATCGATATAGTATTCCTTAGGATTTACTCTGAACACATTTCTATGTTTTCAAATATCACAATTAATGATTTACACTGCATAATTGTTACAGGATACGAATTATTTCAATATCTATTATGATTTTACAAACTCTGCAAATTTGTTTGGCCGGGACAAAAACCGGAAAAGCTGATTTTTCACAAATTTCTTAATAAAATTACAACGAGAAATTTACGAGAATGAGCAAAATTAGAAAACGATATTTTCGACTGCCTGGCACAAGTGTTTATTTTAACTAACAATAGGTTAATGATGAAGAAAAAATTTGATCATTACCATCCCGGTCTTGACCTAAAAAAATATAAGTCACCTTAAACCTTAGGATATTTTATTTTTATATTATATTTATATTTTAATATAATGTAATGCAGTTTGTGGCTACATGCTCGAGTTTGAAAGGCCAATCAATAAAAATAAAAAAAAAAAATATTATTCTGAAATATTAGTCGTTTCTTTACTGTATTCGAAAAATTAAAACCTTGGTAAACCTTGCCATTAGATCCGGAACACCAAATGTTAATCTACAAAATATAAATTTAATAAGCTAATCTAATTAAACTCATATTTTGATTATTTAATCGTATTCCATTCATGCTGGCTTCTATTTAAAACAGACAGAATATTTTTAAGTAATTTAATCCTACGGACATCTCGTGAGTTTCTTGCATTTACTATCATCGAAGTTTTAACGTGCGCCGCTACGTGGTTTGCGGATCGAGTTTACATGTAGAATGGATCATTTTATCACAGATTATTAAATTCGTTTTGATTTGAAAATTTAATATTTTATTTAATAAAATCACCGACTCCTTTAACAGTACTTTAAAATTAACTTCCGAAGAAAAAGTTTTTGTTTTTGCCAGAATATCGTTTATGCTTTCTCAAGTTTTTAAGTCATACTGAATCGTTTGACATCAAAATATAAGTATATGTGTGTGTATGTGAAGTAAAAATGAAAAAGTTATCTTTAAACCAGCAGCAGCCATTTCATTTGAATTGAAAAGCTATTTATTGAAACTTGATAAGGGCTCGCGTTGATTAGTTTTAGATTAGAGAGACGAGCGGCAGAGCCGTTTTTTATATTTAGCAGAGAATATAAAAAATAATAATAAGAGAAGTTTTTTAATATTTAGCAAAAAAGTCTGAAAAATTGTGAATTGGCCAAAAATTCTAAACTGATTTTAAAATTGTAAAAACTGTTCGAAATATATAAGTTAAAATTCAGAAAGGCCAATTCGTTGTAATAAATTGTAATGTTTTTTTTTTACAATTTTGGTGGATGATTTCTTACAACTTTAAATGATGATAGTTCAGGTTGACAACACTGTTAACGACCATTATATACAATCTAATAAAATAAAATTGTAAAGTTAACTTATAAAATATGTATGACTAATGTACGTGAATACAAAGTCAATACAAAGTCAAAAAATAAACAATAAAAAAACATCATAAAATACTATAGGCATACGGAAAGTGGTATAATTATAGAAAATGAGCAGCGTCAAAAATTTTTCACAATTTGAAAATTTGCTATATCTCTATTTTTATTATTTAAGTCGATTATTTACAAATATCAGAAAGTTCTTGCAACATATCC